TGATGAATGAATCAGCCTCTGCCGGTTTCCCTCAGTTGTTACCAAGGAATTGCAATGATTTCAGTGTGACTCGTTTCCATCTCCCAAGTATTCAGAATTTAAGGGAATAAACAGCTGGTGCCTAGAAACCCCAATTTCTACTCTGCTCACTAGGGAGAATGTTTCTGTGTCTGGATGAAAAGTTGCAGGAGAAAAAACTTTTACTCGCATTTCTGCATTTCAAAAAATTAAAGAGTATAAAATCATTCCATGGGGGGAGAGAGAGGGCACAAGCCAGAGGCTGCATTCCCTGTCACGACCTTCTGAGTAAAGCTGACTGGGGAGTTGTCCCAAGCCAGCATATTGATTAGGCAAATGCAACATTTTCTCTTTTCCAGAAGCCTGTCTCAAGAGCATCTCGTTCTCACTAAGGAAGAGGCTGAGCTTGGGCTTTAGCAAGCTTTCCATCCCACGGAGCAGGAGAGCGGAGGGCCTTCAGGCAGAAGGCTTGTAGGGGGGTGGCATGCCTCCACATTTTTTTCCTGGGGAGCTAAAAGGGATTTGTAACACTAGCCCTTGCAGAGTGGAGGTCAAGGGGCTGGATATGCCTTCGGGCATGGCTGAGAAGAGGCAGCCCCTGTGGAAGCCGGTAACGGTAATTGATGTTTCCCAAATAAACCCCATAATCTGTGCGTTCACAGCCAAAGCACCGGATTAGAAAATCCAACACCAAAAAAAAAACACTCCGACACCAAAATTGCCACGGGCCAGCTGCTGGTGTGAGAACTGGCAAAAAGCTTGGGCATTGTGCCAGGTCTTGCCTCTTTCTCATAGGAATCACCGATGGCAAGGGGATACTGCTGACTTGAGTTCTCCCACTGGTGATTTGGAGGAGGTCAGAGACGCCCCAAGGCTATTTCGGCACCAAATCTTTCCAACCACCGCTTCCTGCGTGGACTGCCTACTGCCAGATCAGTGGTTTGAAACCCACAGTAACGACCCACCAGGGAGCGAGGACGCTTTCTACAACCACGGAGTCTGGCAGCCTCAGAAACCCCCAGAGACCGTTCTGTTCTGTCTGGTAGATTCACGATGATTCAGCATCAACTCGATGGCATCGAGTTTGGGTTTTCTGCTGTTGTTTATTTCTAGCATCCTAAGGCATCTGGGTTCCCAGAAGTCCGTCCTCACAGGCACAGGCCCCCCTCCGCCCCTCGTTTAATGCGAACCCTGGACCCCACCGCTCCCTCCCTACGAGGTCAGTCCCGGGGCGCCATCCGCACTCAACCCCACGATAAATCCCGCAGCCCATTCTGACCCTGCCGGCACCCTAAACCCCACCGCCACCCCTGACCAGCAGGGTGAGGCGCAAACAAAGACCCCGGATCCTGACCGCCGGGACGGACGGGGTCCACCTACAAAGGCGCTCACCCCGAGTCTGACCCCCGAAAGCATCGACTCCCACCGGCTTCCCCTCAAGCACCTCCGCCCGGCGCTGCCCTCAGGAACGCCGTCGATCCTCACGACCGCATCCCTTGCTTTCTTTCAAAGATAAAAATACACTTGTTTGCCTCCCGAATCACCCGAAGTTCCTCAAACTCACACTTACTTCCGGGGAGAGCGTGAAGAGCGCCACCTGTCGGGCGGCGTTTAGGCCTGGGCGACGACGGCGGCCGCCGAGGGCCGTAAAGCACGCACTTCCGCTCTCGCGTTTTCTGTCCGCTCTGGCTGCGGGAGGCCATAATTCCGTACAAAATGAAAGGCGGTAAAGGTGTGTGTTTCCACACGAAATCAATGAAAGAGATGGTGTCGCGCGCGTGTGAGTGTTATATCGGTGTGTCAGTAGGTGGGCAATTATTTCTGTTCAAAACGAACCACGGGGATTGTGTATGCGTGTGTTAAAGTGAGGGGCGGGGGAGGCAGGCGTGATAACACCTTATTTGCACATTCATTAGGGTGGCAATTACAAGACCATGGCTAGACAGGCCATATAAAAACAATCCACCAAAATATAAATAAATAAAAAACAAAAACAATCCATCACATCACATTGATTCAAGCGATCATTAACTTTACAAAACTATATATGACTATGTTTCTGTGTGCTGGGAAAAGATACACTCAGGTAAGTCAGTGACCTGAAATAATCATTTTCTGGGACGACTGAAATGATGGAGATTTCTCATTATACCTTCAAGTCATGGCAAAAACTACCTTTATGGACTTGGAGCGATTACCCTTTCAATGGAAGGAGATCAAACCCAAGGCTACAGTAACAGAAGAGGTTTTATTATGTAAGCTTAAGCCAGGGCTCCATCCTCAGGTGCTTAATTTAAGAGCCTCGAACAATAGAATTTCCCAAGTATATATTCACAAGATAAACGTAATGGGGCGTTCCCAGCCCCCCCCTCTCCCGTCAATCTACTGATTGGCTCATTTGAGGTAGGTTGGCAGTCTGGTCCTTTGAGTAGTTCCCGGGCTGGTCATGCCGCTCCCGGGCTGGCTAGCCTCAGTCTCCGGTACGTCCTACTTGGCACTGCTAGGAAACATGAAACCACAAGGGGACCGTCACTCCCCTTACCTGCCCCCAGCCCTGGTGTTAGGTGACTCCTCCAATAAACTCGGGGACCACTTTTTTATCTATATGGTTACTTGTAATTATGGGGGGCCGGGTGAGATTATAATAAAACTTTTCCCCGGCTTTGTCTCCCCCAGAGATATGCCAAATCTTAGAAGCTGTTTGCCAGCACATGGTGGGAGGTCAGATGCCTAGAGATATTCTCCCTGAAGGCTCACTCCCTGCTGTTAAGGACAATGGATTACTTCCCCTGAAAGCTTAGGCTAACTCAAGTCTCCAGCTCAAGGGCAATCAAGGTTAGGCCGCCACCACGAATCTATGATTTGCCCGTTTTGTCACGTTTACCCCCAATCCGTCCCCTTCCTGAAAGGTTGAGACAGAGCCACAGGGGAGAGATAGGGTTCTGACAAAAACGATACGTAAAAACATGATTTTATTGAGGGAAAAGGACTCCCGAATGGATTCCACAACCCAACAAGTGTAGGTTAGGGAAATCACACCTGGCGGCGGCAGGAGATGTACGTGATGTGAGGCATATGGGCCGGTAAGGGGGAGGTTTTTTGTGCTGCAGTTAGAAGTTTCGGTCAGGAGATGACCTGTCAGTAAATCATTTTGTTCTCAGCAAACTTGCTTCCTGGAACATTAGGGAGAGGAGGCTAGGTTCTGCCCTGGAAGGTAAGCTTTGTGAAATGCTGGAGGCAGGTGCTTTGAAATTCAGCCCGTCATTTGTCTTTTTGAGAGGCTGGTGCTAGGGGCTTGCCTGGTCTGGACCTGCCCAAACACTTCCTACTGTGTGATTGTCCCCTCATTACTGTAGTACCTGTGGTGTAACCCCTTCCTGTGATGTGTCTTTACCTGTAATTAGGGGGCTTGCATGCCCCCCAAAGATATATAAGCCTTGGTTTGCAATAAAGACCTCTCTCTCCCTGTCCTCCTTCCCCACCCTCTAGCTTGCTCCCTCCTGCAATCCCCACATTCCACATGGACCACCAAGCAGGGCTGATGAGCATGCTACCATGAAATGTGTCTGCCTCCATTATTTCAATCTCATCTCTTATTCTCTACTACTTTACTATAATCTTTACTTACTATTGTTATACAATTGCACCTATATGACCCACAGTGATTTATGGGCTGGCTACTCTGACATGAAGGCTTACATCTCCGGAAGACCATGTCTCTCCCACTCGGACCTGGTTCCTAATGGCATGGAGGTGGTGAGCACCCCAAAACTTTTTTTCTGCCTCTTAATGACTTCCCTTCCATTGCACAACCGTCCCTGAGGACCCAACTGGATGTGGGCTGGATCCCACATTGCTGTTCCTTACCGTGTCATTGCTTCCAAGATTGGTCCTTTTATCAGTCTGCGTACCCTCAACCTCCTCCAGGACCGTAATTCAAATGAATGGATTCCTCTTTGGTCTTCCTTATTCAATGCCCAACTTCACAGTCAGAGTAAACATTAATGTGTTTGGCTGCTAACCTGAAAGGCTGGAGGGTTCGGTCCACGGAGGCCTTACAAAAAACTCAGCCATTGGAAACTCTGAGGTGCAGCGTTCTAATCAGACTAGGAACCAACTCAACGGTGAATACATTGTGATTTTCTAACTCCCAAGGGCATTGCCCCAATGATCCCTTGTCTTTTTTACCTGATATAAATACTGCATCATGCTTTGACTCGATTAGCTGCGTTATCAAGGTTCCGCATAAATGTACTCCACTTAACCCCATGGTCTCTTCAAGAAGGCACGGGACGCTTCTTTTATCGTACATGACTTCATTCTCAGAACACACAAACAGGCTCAAGTCCAAAGACACAACCAGACAGATATCCATTACAGTCATGAGCAATAGAAGGCTATTTGGTCACTGTAAGCAATTTGTCATTTACACCAAGGGAGGTCAGAAGGAGTTAGAATTGATTTGATAGCAATTTGTCATTTACACCAAGGGGGGTCAGAAGGAGTTAGAATTGATTTGATAGCAATTTGTCATTTACACCAAGGGGGGGTCAGAAGGAGTTAGAATTGATTTGATAGCAATTTGTCATTTACACCAAGGGGGGTCAGAAGGAGTTAGAATTGATTTGATAGCAAGTAACACAAAACAACATGCCAGATACCAATTACCCATTTTTATTTTAAAATTTACATTACTTATTTTGTCTATGACATGAACTCAGATTTTCACTCACTTATTGATACAACACAGTGATCCATTTATATATGCATTTGGGTTAAAATCAGATTCGTCTATATTAATTAGGATTCCACAATCTCCGTATTCATGATTTCCTGCAGGATAAACTTTTTTGCTATACGAAGTGGATATTTTTCTCAACTCTCTTGTCCCATTAAAGTATCAGTTTGTCCCATGGGCTTTGTGGACTATAAAACAAAATGCAACTGGAACCTGGAGGCACAACCACCGTCACTGGATTCATAAGGACTGCACCATTCACCATATTGATACGGCTTCTGTGCTGTACAAATCCTATGTTGCCACTTGATTCCTTTCTGTAGATAGGCTGTCCCACAAGAACTCCATTCTTGTTTTTACATCTTTCTTTTAAAAATAATGACAGGTCGCAAATTAGTTCCATTAGCCATGACAGAACACCTGTGAAATGTTTTTTTTTCATTCCCTGTGGTTCTGAGTAAAATAGTTTTGTCTCCCAAACTTGCCACAGTTCTGTTGCTTGGAAGATCAAAGGTCATGGGTGTTTCATCCATATTGCCAATATCTCTGAAGTCCTAGTTATGGATCCTTCGTTTTAGGATGAACGAATGGAATGACATCACTTTTGCATCAAGGTCTTTTGGCAACTTCTGTGAAATCTTTGTTCTTTGCCGCAAACAT